TTCTTGTATTCTTGTGTTCACAAAAGCAATACATATTCATTGTAGAAAATTAATTGAAAAAGTTCTGATACATAGAAAGGAAAAAAGTTAAATTACCCAATAACCTTTGATCTTTTTTTCTATTTGCTGTATATGTATTTCATGTACATGTATATGTGTATGTGTATGTATATATACACATTCTGTGTTTAGAGATCTATGTATGTATAGTTTCTAACAAAAAGAGCAAGTATATTTCACCCCAGGACTATGTTCATCTGTGTTAACAAGAATTGTGAGATTGAATTCAGGTTGAACAGGAAAGAATGTGGTGATTGATTATCAATGTCTGATACGGGTATGGGAACAGGAATAGCAGTACATGTGCCAGATATTTTCCATTCCAAATTGATTCTGTGCCTGTAGAAGTTACTATCATTATCCTAGGCACCAATGTCTATTAGTCATAAGTCTCTACTCTTGACTTACAGCTGTGAATGGATATAGTTTTGGAACTCTCCCAGGACTCACCATGTGTGCAGAGGACAGAGTGAAATGGTATCTTTTTGGTATGGGCAATGAAGTTGATGTGCATGCAGCTTTCTTTCATGGACAAGTATTGACTAATAAGAACTACCGTGTTGATACAATCAATCTCTTTCCTGCTACCCTTTTTGATGCATTTATGGTGGCCCAGAACCCTGGAGAATGGATGCTTAGCTGTCAGAATCTAAATCATCTAAAAGGTAAGGTATCTTTATCTGGAATTAGCTGTCAGTTGAAAGAAAGAAGCTTGTCTGAGTTACATTACTGATTGGGAATCAGAATCTAAAAGTTAAAAATATCTTTGGAATTATCTGAACTTTGGACTGGTTATTTATTTTTATTCCTATCATGGTATGTGTCATAATGTAATGAAAAGATGAAATATTTATAAAACAATGAAATGTGAGAATACATTAATTTTTGAAAAAGAATTGACCCTGAAAGTATAGTACTCTGCAGTTTCTTAACTTTCCAAAATACAATATTGTAAAAACCAGTAGGTTTATATATGATGTAGAAAATAAATCTATTTTTAAATAGGTTCTATAAAATATAAATAACTTTGTTCTTTATTTGGGTCTAGCTATTCCTAAATTTAGCTTATTAAAACCCTTTTCTGTCTGTTTAATATAAAGTGATTAAATCATTTCTTGTTCTTGAAAAATATTAGTTTGTAATATTATTATCCTGAAGAAATGAGGTTTAATCTAGGTCTTTGTAGAGCATAGGTGTGTTACTTTGGCCCTCAAACATAATCTTAAATATCAAATATGACCTGGGGAGGTGGTCCAAGATGGCAAAGTAGTCATCAGACAACTCATAATGTCCTGCTTACAGCAAAGACCAGAGAAAACAAGTGAATCAGATATAGATAACAACTTTGGAAGCCTAAACATCAAAGGCAAGGCTGAAGAATGAGAACAAATACCAAGTGGAAGGAGAGACTACGTAAACAGCAGATACAGAGAATTATATATCGCTGGCACCCTGCCAGCCAAACCTGCACAGCATGACCACATTGAGACAAAGCAAACAGTGTTCCCAGCTGAAGCTCCTGTCACCTGGTGCAGCCAAGCAGGAGCACCTCTGTACCCATGTCTAGAGCCAGACAGGAGTGCTCTCCACCCTGCAAAAATTAAGTGCACTAACTTCACCTACCGGCCACTCCTCGGAAGGAAGGTTGGGCAATCCTACTTCCGTAGTGATACTGCCTCGGAAACCCAAGGAGGGGTCGCTATGAGTCGGGGCCGACTCGACAGCACATAACAACAACAACAACAACACCAACTACCACATCTCACAGCTTCTCATGCTGGAGGCCCCACAGACGTGTGGTGCCTCCATGTTCACATACATCTGACCCCATATATGATCACTATCCAGTGGCACCCACCACTGCCTCACATCCTGAGCCAAGGGCCCATGGAACAGAGGCACCCACCCCTTCACTCAACCATTTGCATCAAGGACCCACAGATCAGTGTTGCCAGCCTCTTCATCCAGCCATTGAAAGCACTGAAAAGCATTGAAAGCAGCACCTACTCTTATGCCCCAACTGCCCACACTAGGGCCCATGGACCAGTGGTATCCACTGCTCTTCCAGCCACTGATACTGGAAGCCTGCAAACCAGAGAGGCCCAACACTATACCCAGCCACCCACACCAAGGCCCCACAGACCAATGACACCTCTACTCTCTCCAGCTACCTGCACCAGAGGCCCAAGGACCAGTGGCACACCCTCCCCCACATTGCACTCTAGCATACAGGAGCACAACTTCCTATATAGCTTCTCCCCCACCTCACCCTTTGCACTGACCCCCCTGCAACCAGAAACTTGAGCCTCTCTGACCATCTTTGTGTGACCCTGCCTGCCTGGGGCCATCAGTTTTTTAGTATCACCCATCCAGTGACTGACAACCTGAGTAGTGCACTCACACAACACCCAATCCAACCCTTGAGAATGCTCCTGGCACTCACACCCAAGTGACTGGCTGACCAGAAAAATCACCTCATCAGCAATGCCAGCTTACATCCTCAGCCATCCTACAAGACCAGTTAACAGAGACCTGCATGCACAAACCACTGTCCCACCCTCCCTAGAGAATAGGTGGTGACAGCTCCAGTATGGCCAAACTAGTAACCAGAATAGCATGCACACCCTTCCTACTTGGGTATATCAAAACAAAACAAAAAGATCACAGAAAACAAATATACAATAAATAAATAAATACAGTAAAATCTTAATGCTTTGGAGATAACATACATAAGATAACACATAAAAGCAGGATAAAATGGCTCCAGCAAGTGACCAAAATAAAGAACCAGAAAACCTTCCAGAGGAATAAATGGTATTGGAACTGCCTGATAAGGTATTCAAAAGACTAATAGAAAGGGTTCTCCAAGAAATCAAGGAAAACACAGACAAAACTATGGAAAACACAGACAAAGCAATAGAATAATTCAAGAAAACAATATAAGAGCAAAATGACAAAATTAATCAACAGTTAGAAACCATACAGAAACAGCAACTAGGAATCCAAAAGTTTAACAATAAAAATTTCAGAAATAGACAACTTAATAGAAGAACATATGATAATTGAATCAATTGAAGAGAGAATCAACAAAATGGAGGACAAACCCATTGACACCAATTTGTTTAAGGAAAAATCAGAAAAAAAGGAATGAAGAAAGCCTAAGAATTATGTGAGACACTATCAAGAGGAAAAATTTATACATGATGTGAATTCCAGAACAGAAGGAGGAAAAAAAAAACTGAAGATTTGCTGGCAAAAAAGTTCCTTAATATCATGAAAGAAGACAAGACAAGATATCCATCCAAGAAGTTCAAATACAACCTGGGCCAACAAGGCCCCACACACAGATGTATAGCCATTTTGTGTGAGACAACAATAACAGAACAAGCTCATTCTATTTCTCCTTCTCCACTCCACCTTATCCCTGTAAAAATGTAAAAGCCCTCTCTTTTGTTTTTCTATAAACTTGTCCTTTTTCTCTCATTAAAACAACTCGCAAGTGAAATTCAACAGAAGCTGGTATCATATTTTGAAAGTACTAAGGCTTTAAAGCACCTCTATTCAAACTTTAATTGAATTCTCCATAATTTCTTACAGCTGTTGAGTCTTTGGGTGGCACAAACAGTTAAACACTTGACTAGCTGAAAGCCTGGTGGTTCAAACATACCCAGAGGCCCATTGGAAGAAAGGCCTGGTGATCTGCTTCCAAAAAGTCACAGCCTTGATAATCCTATGGAACACATTTCTACCCTGCACACATGGAGTCACCATAAGTTGGAATCAACCCCATGACAATGAACAACAACCCTAGTTTGTAATTTATAGTTTCAATCTATTTGTTCAGGAGCTTGGTGGCATAGTGCCTAAGGCATTTGACTGCTAACCAGAAGGTTGGTGGTTCAAAACCATCAGCCACTCCTCGGAAGGAAGGTTGGGCAATCTACTTTCATAGTGATAGTGCCTCAGAAATCCAAGGAGGGGTTGCTATAAGTTGGAAAGCTCTGATGGTGGAGTGGTTAAAGCATTAGGATGCTAACCAAAAGGTTGGTAGTTCAAGCCCACCAGCCGCTCCATGGGAGAAAGATGCGGAAATCTGCTTCCATAAAGATTTATAGTCTTGGAAACCCTATGGGACAGTTCCACTCTGTCCTAATGGTTGCTATGAGTCTATATCAATTTGACTGCAGTGGCTTTGGTTTTAGATATGTATTCCTTCAATTCCCTTCTGTCATTTCATCAACCGTATTTATGAGCCAATAAGGGAAAGAAATATTGGCCTCATTAACCAATGCCTCCTTCTCTTTCCAGCTGGCTTGCAGGCCTTTTTCCAGGTGCAGGACTGTAAGAATTCTTCATTGGAGAATGATGCTGTTGGGAAGGATGTTAGACAGTACTACATTGCTGCCGAGGAAATTGTCTGGAACTACGCACCCTCTGGGATAGACATCTTCACCAAAGAAAATTTAACTGCACCTGGGAGGTAATTCAGGAAAAATGACTGTTATTACAAAAATTGTTATTGTTGTTAAGTGCCGTCGAGTCATTTCTGACCATAGCAACCCCATGCACAGCAGAACGAAACACTGCCCGATCCCGCGCCAGCCCCACAATCCCTGCTATACTTGAGCTCATCATTGCAGCCACCATATGAATTACATTTCTACCCTGCACACATGGAGTCACCATAAGCTGGAATTACAAAAATATGCCCCCACAAATAACCATAGCACACTGATTCAGCAATTAAAAGCTTAATTAATTTAATAAAATAATTAAACTGCTAAGTTTTATCAAGGCATTTGGTATAAGACCCTCAGTTCGAGAACTATGAATTTTGAGTTCATGAGGAAAAAATGGGTTTAAAAAATATCAGATATTCCACAAAATCCTAAGAAAATACTGAATAGTGAATAAATCAATTTATTTGCTTTCATTTTTGGAAAGTTCATCATTTTGAAATAGGGAAAAAAAGTGTAATTTCACAATTTTATAATACAATTTCATAGAAAGTTTATCTTCACTTTTTAATACAGCTTCCATTCCAGATGTGCTCTGTGCTATCCTTGCTTCCAGAAATTTATTCCTCTTTTTCCCTCTGCCTAGAATACCCTCCTTCTTGAATCTATGTGTGTTAGAAAGTTCTACCTTGAAACACCTTGAATCTCACCAATTCTCACCTCCATACCCTCCTACCACCCTGGATAAAGTCCTTTACTATGTGTCTTAGTGAGTTCTGTGGTCTTACAATCTCTGCCTCAGTCTTCCTTACCTAAAACCCATTCTCTACAAAGCAGTCCAAGTGACCTTTCAAAAATGTCAATCAGATCATTCTCCTGCTCTGATCTACATCTCTGCTTAAATGTCACCTTCTTAGAGCAGTCTTGTTTGCCATTCATCTAAAAAATCCCCTCCTTGGAGAAGTTAAATAATGTACCCAAGATCACACAACAAGTCCATAGCTAGGCCTTGCTCCATCCATAAATATGACTCCTGAGCAGAGATTTCACCCTCACACTACATTACCATCAAGAGGCTGATGGCCTTCAAATCTGCATATTCAGCCTGGAAGTCTCTCATAATTTTCAGATTTGCATTTTGAGCTGCTTAGTGGACATTCACACTTAGATGAGTCCATTTCAACTCAACATATCCAATCCTGAACCCACTCTCTTCTATGCAAATCTGAGATTCTTATTTTAGTAAATGGTACAGCCAGCCATCTATTCAAGTGTCCAATCTCAAAATCTGAGCACAATCCTTGACTCTTCTCCATCACCACCCCTTCCCTGTCACATCAGTCCTTCTTCGTTATATCCCAAATATCTCTGAAAGCCATCTGCTTCCCTCCATCCTCTTTGCTGATACTGCTGAAGCCATTGACAACCTCTCAATCCTCCTAAAACAAAAATCCTGATGCTAACACCTTTCAAAGTCTTCACATTGCCCTAGAATAGATAGTGAGTCCCTAGCTAGGTCTAACTGCCTATCTCCTATCTATCCAAGCCTCAACCTCAGCTCCTCTTCCCTGTATGATACCCTCTTGCCATACTTTCTAAAATGTGTTATGTTTCCTCTGTCCTCTGAACCTTCCTCTTCTTAAATATGCACCTTATTCTCCCCCATCCACGCATGCTGGATCTTGTTAACTCTATTGCTCCTTTGTTGTTGTTGTTGTTATTGTTGGCTGCTGTTGAGGAGACCCCTGATTCATGATGACCTCATGCAAGAGGGAACAAAACACTGCCCAGTCCCATACCATCCCCATGATCAATTGTGAATTGGACCACTGCAATCCATAGGGCTTTCATTGGCTGATTTTCTGAAGTAGGTTCCCAGGCCTTTCTTTCTAGTTCCTCTTAGTCTGGAAGCTCTGCTGAGGCCTGTTCAGCATCACAGCAATGTGCAACCCTCTACTGACTTATGAGTGGTAGTTGCCTATTCTTACATATACCAAACTATTGAAAGTCTGCTCTTTTAGATAGTGATATATATATATATATGTATATATATATATATATATATTTCCTCAGGGAAGTCTTTACAGTATCTCCCTGCCACTTCCCCAAGCTTTAGGAGAAATGCTCCCTGATACCTTGAGCTTATTACATGTTCATGAGCACAAATGAGAATACAGTCTTATACATGAACCATTGATTGTTTCATAGTCTCTCTTCTCTGATAACTGTAAGTTATATGTGGACAGAGGCAAGTCCTTGCTATGATTATCTCATTAGCACATAGCAGAATTTCTGACAAAGAACAGGTGCTCAATACATTTCTCAAATGACTGAAGAAATGAGGAAGTAGCTTTATACAAGTCACAAGAATAATACCATCTTGGTTTCATTGTTGTACAAGTTTCAAATAATAAATGAATAAAAGCCTCTGAGCACCAGTGGTAGTTAAAGTTGTGTGTCAACTTGGCTGGGCCATGGTTTTGAGTGGTTGGGCAGCTGGATGCAGTTATTCCCCATGATGAGATTGTGGGGTAAATCAACTCCATGGTGGAATCTGCTGTGAGCAGCTAATTAGTTGCCTATGGGATATGGCCTGCTTCCAGAATATAAGACACTTTGAGAAAGGTCTTGAGCTTTTTGGCATGCTTGGATCCTGCATGTAGCTGGGTGATCATTCAGTAGCCTGTCATGCTGCCTGCTGATTTGGGACTGGACTTGAACTAGTGGCCTGTTGTGTGGCTTAATAATTTGGGGACTGTGCCATTTTACTTGTCAATCTTGTTTGTCAGCTTCAGTAGCCAGTAGCTGCCTGAGTTAAGAGAAGCCTAAAGCTTCAGTGGACTGGAGCCAAGGTCAAGGGGCCTTCACCCAGCTCCTAGAGCTGGCACTTTGAACTCAGACTTCTAGCCTCCTGTGAGAGTTGGATCTGTGTGTCAACTTGGCTGGACCACAATTCTGTGTGGTTTAAGCAATTGTGATGTGGGCTGTTCCCATGATGGGATCAGATGTATATGTTTTCAGCAGCCAATCCATTGAAAGGGAGTTTCCCTAGGGGCATGGCTGCTTCCAGTGTATTTATGGACATCCTGGGAAAAGAGACACTCTTCTGTAGATCAGGATTCTGTTGTGCTGCCTACAAATGTCTGTGAATGAACAATCCACCATTTGGCCTGGAGGTCTTGCATTCATCATTCATTGGACACATCAGCCAGTATACTGCCTGCCAACCTTGAGCTCCTCAGCCCCTGCAGCTGCGTGAGTTGGGAAAAGCCTCCAGCTTGGAATTTGATCCAAGAACTTTTGACATGCCAGCTTCTATAAGGGTATGAGCCATTTTCCTAAGATAAATTTCTTTTTCTCTCTCTTTCTATAAGCTTTTCTGATTTTGTTTTTCTAAAGAATCCAGTCTAACACATTTGGTACCAGGAGTGGTTCAAGAGAGACAAAATCATAATGATGGATTTCCTAAATTGGTTCTCCAATTTGATTAATTGTAAAGGCACTAGTGACCCTGCCTCTGTTAGTAAAGAGGGGCCTGATAATCTGTGGTGTGAGGTGGTAACATTAATATGCAAAATAGCACCGCCAATAGATCAAGTACTTGTGAAGAGTGAGGCTCTGGGTGATCGCATATTTGATACTTTTCTGCAATTTTGTCAGCATGAGGAGTATAAGGAAGCTGGCTGGTTGGTCCTGCTTACACTAGACAAAGTGGTGAAAGCGAGATGAGCCCAGGGCTGCTGAGTCACAGCTTAAGTGCCACATAAAAGACTTCAATGTTTCCACTTGTGCTCTCAAAAAAAGCCTTATTTCTTCTAGTAACAGAACTGATATTGCCAAAAACCAAACCCAGAGTTTTATTGTAAGGATGGCTGAATTACAACACCAATTAAATTACCAATGCAGAATGGTGTCTGAAGTTAAAGTGAGGGCATTGATTGGGAAAAAAAATGGGATCCTGAAACCTGGAATGGGGACATATGGGCAGATAGCCAGGAAGATCAGGATATGGAGCCTGTAAATTCTGTGGAATCCCTCCCATCTGAAGGGATTATTGTAAAACCATTATCCCCTCCACCTCAGTTTGATGGGATTAACCCAACTGTTCCTGCTGGGTGATTGCTTGAGGCAGAGGCCATGGAAGACATTGCTGAATGTTCTCAGGAACTGCCCCAACCACCCATTGTTGCCGCTAGACCTATAACTAAAGTTAAGTCCAAGTGAGCCCCAAAAGTTGAAATACAAAGTGTGATGGAGGAGGTAGTATGCTACACCCAAAAGGACCTACTTGATTTTGCTAACATGTACAGACAGAAACCTGGAGAATATGTATGGGAATGGCTACTGAGGGTGTGGAATAATGGTGCAAGGAATGTAACATTTTTCACTCTAAGTTTATTGATTTAGGCCCACTAAGTATGGATTCTTTATTTAATGTTTCAGCTCCAGAGGTTAGGAAA